AAAAAAAAAAAAACAAAAAACAAAAAACCCCAGCATGATTTGTATTAAAGACTCTAAATTTCAAGAACAGAAACCATTTATTTTAAAGTAACAAACACAGTGAGGAATGCACAGTGAGATTTGGGGGCTAAGAAGCTAATGAAGGAAAAGAACAAAACTAAGTAGAAACTTCTGACAGAAACTCAGAATCTAGTTAGGACAAAACAAAAAAGAAAAACATTCCATTTTCAGTTCCAATGTGAGTTAAACGCAGCCCTAGTGACTGCAAGATAAAATTTAGGCAATATCCATTATCATCCTAAGGCTTAAAAGACAAAGTTAGGCAGCATCTTCTGAATTAATACAATGCTGGACATCTGACTGCCATGCTGAATTGAATGGCTGCTTTGGCATCTTGTAGACTGAACCCTCAGGTACCTTTCTTAACTTTGTGATTCTCTGATAAGTAAAAGCCCTTTAAACCATTTAAAGATCTAATTGATCTAAAAAATAAGATAGGGAACAGCAATGAATGCCATAAGAGATACAAAAAGTAAATTCTATCCAATTCCCCTCATTTCCTTTGGCTTAGTATTTTATTGACATTTCAAAAAGTGGTCATTAATACTGGGCGAAAACCACTGGAGCAAGAAAAAAATTCAAGCAACAAATATAAAATATAGTGTTCAATTTATTTATTTGCAATGCAGAATCTAGCTGAATGTAATTTCCAAAACAAATTTTCCTAAAAATGAATTTCAGGGGCGGTGCCTGTGGCTCAAAGGAATAGGACGCCGGCCCCATATACCAGAGGTGGTGGGTTCAAACCCAGCCCCGGCTAAAAACTGCAAAAAAAAAAAAAAAAAAAGAATTCCAAAGAAAAAGACATTTTTTTCAGGGTGAAGGGTCAATGGAATTATTTGAGAATTAAATAAAGAGAGAGAAGTTACTTTGGGAAATTTTACTGGCTACAATGCCAAGATTTCCTTCATTCAAAAACCAGGTTTTAAATCTCATTCAGGCATGTTATAATAGGATTCCACTTAGAATTTTCTAG